CAGGGGGTGGCATGCTCCCTGTATGGCGCTCCAGTGAGTAATCTGGCTGCCTCCCGTTGGACTAGTTGAAGTTTCCGAACAGTCTTCAAAGGCAACCCCACGTAGAGTGCGTTGCAGTAATCCATTCGGGATGTAACAAGAGCGTGGACCACTGTGGCCAGATCCGATAAGCCCCCTCTGTCATGTGAAGTCAGAGCCAAAGCAGTTCCTAAAAAGAAAGGTCTTTGTCTTACAGAGAGAGAAGAGAGACAGCCATTTTCACGGATTATTTCCCCTCCCCACTTCCCATTTCATATTTCCACTGGATGGGGAAATAACATGGATGGGGAAATAACAGGAAAATGGGGGAAATGGTTTTACTCCTTCAAACTCCCTCATCCTTCCCTAAAATGGTCTATATTTCTCTGTCTAGCACCCCCTTTTGGCCTCCACTTGGATAATTTTAGCGCCCTCCTCTGGACACATTCCAGCTTGTCAACATTGCCCTTCAATTGCAGTGCCCAGAATTGGATGCAGTATTTCTGCCTTGCTCAGACCACACCTGGAATAACACAGTGTCCAATTCTGGGCACCACAATTGAAGGGGGATGTTGACAAGCTGGAATGTGCCTAGAGGAGGGCGGCTAAAATGATCAAGGGTCTGGAGAACAAGCCCAATGAGGAGCGACATAAGGAACTGGGCATGTTTAGCCTTCAGAAGAGAAGGCTGAGAGGACACATGATGAGGGCCATGTATAAATATGTGAGGAGAAGTCATAGGGAGGAGGGAGCAGGCTTGTTTTCTGCTCCCCTGGGGACTAGGACGCAATGAAACAATGTCTTCAAACTACAGGAAAGGAGATTCCACCTGAACATGAGGAAGAACTTGCTAACTGTGAGAGCTGTCCAGCAGTGGAACTCTCTCCCCCAGAGTGTGGTGGAGGATCCTTTTTTGGAGGCTTTTAAACAGAGGCAGGATGGCCATCTGTCGGGGATGTTTTAAAGGCAATTTTCCTGATTCTTGGCAGGGAATTGGACTGGATTCTATGATTCTATTAATGGAACAATCTAAATAAAAACTAATATAAACAAATAGTTACTCCCTGAGTGACAAATATCCGACCAACAAATGACTCCAAACAGGGGTGAGACAATAGAAAGGGAGAGAAATCTGTCTCTGAAAATGGAAATCCACCCCTGAAAGAGTTAGTATGGGGAAAAGATGTCTCCACTCAAGCTTTCTCACCAATCCTTGTTTTTGCAACAAGATGAGTTTTTCAAAATCCAATTTTCACAGGGACAGAAAGTGAAGTGAAATATTCTGATCAGGGGCACAGACAGAAAAACAAACACCACAGGTGTGTTCACTCCTCTCCAAGCTTCCCAAAGTTATATATAAACTCTTAAAAGTGTAGCTCCAGCCATATATATGTAACTAGCTGTCTCCTGCCACGCATTGCTGTGGCCCATTCTGTGTAGGTGTATTGGCCTGGTAGATGTATTGTGTGTAAATTTGATGTCAATTCGCCCAGTGGTTTCTGAGTTATGTTAATCCCACAAACGAACATTACACCTTTATTTATATAGATTACTAGCTGTCCCCTGTCACGCGTTACTGCGGCCCAGTCTGTGTAGATGTGTTTTGTGTGTATATATATGTGTGTGCATATGTGTGTTTGCGTATATATGTGAGATTTTGTGCATGTGTTATAATGTATTTTTGTTTTTTGGCTTTTTAAATCTCTTCTGCTGTGTTTTTCAGTGTTTTTATGAGTGATGGTCACTTGTTGGCCTTATAGATATATTGTGTCAAAATTTGGTGTCAATTTGTCCAGTGGTTTTTGAGTTATGCTAATCCCACAAACTAACATTACATTTTTATTTATATAGATTAGCCGTCACCTGCCACGTGTTGCTGTGGCCCACATGGGGGTTCTGTGTGGGAGGTTTGGCCCAATTCTATCTTTGGTGGATTTCAGAATGCTCTGTGATTGTAGGTGAACTATAAATCCCAGCAACTACAACTCCCAAATGTCAAGATTCTATTTTCCCCAAACTCCACCAGTGTTCACATTTGGGCATATTAAGTATTTTTGTAGAGTTTGGTCCAGATCCATCATTGCTTGAGTCCACAGTGATCTCAGGACCAAAGGGCACTACCCACCAAACCCTTCCAGTATTTTCTGTTGGTCATGGGAGAACTGTGTGCCAAGTTTGGCTCAATTCCATCGTTGGTGGAGTTCAGAATGCTCTTTGATTGTAGGCGAACTATAAATCCCAGCAACTACAACTCCCAAATGACAAAATCAAATTTTTTTGAGTGAAGGACATACATTGGGTAGTTAGGTATGTGCTGTCCAAATTTGGTGTCAATTTGTCCAGTGGATTTAGAGTTACATTAATACCACAAACAAACTATAAATCCCAGCAACTAAAACTCCCAAATCTCAAAGTAAAATTTTTGAGTGAAGGACATACATTGGGTTGTTAGATATATGCTGTTCAAATTTGGTGTCAATTCATCAAGTGGTTTTAGAGTTATGTTAATCCCACAAACGAACATTACATATTTATTTATTTACTAGCGGTTCCCTGCCACACGTTGTTGTGGCCCAGTCTGATCTGGAAAACAAAGCAATGAGAAAGTGTTGGTTTTTAATATATGTAATGCCTTTATGTTTGTGGGTAAGCAGTATTTCTTGCTGTTTCTTTGTCAGTGTTGATGTGGAGATTGTCTGGTTTGCCTACTCTGGAACATGCAACATATCATTGTCCTTCTTTAGGGGTCCCTTTCAAATCTTTGATACTGCATCTGTCATATACATATATATGTGTGTGTGTGTGAATGGCTGGATGGCCCTTTGTCAGGAGGGCTTTGATTACGTTTTTTTGCCCTGGTGAAGGGAGTTGGACTGGATGGCCCTAAGGCAGCATTTCTCAACCTGGGAAGTCAAGACCCGAGGGGGAGGTCACCAGGGGTGTGTCAGAAGGGTCACCAAAGACCACCAGAAAACACAGTATTTTCTGTTGGTCGTGAGGGTTCTGTGTGGGAAGTTTGCTCCAATTCCATCGTTGGTCGGGTTTGGAATGCTCCTTGATTGTAGGTGAACTATAAATCCCAGTAACTCCCAAATCACAAAGTCTATTTCCCCAAACTCCATCTGTGTTAATATTTGGGCATTTTGAGCATCAGTGCCAAATTTGGTCTAGATCCATCATTGTTTGAATCCACAGGGCTCTCTAGATGTAGGTGAACTACAACTCCAAAACTCAAGGTCAATGCCCACTAAATCCTTCTAGTGTTTTATGTTGGTCATGGGAGTCCTGTGTGCCAAGTTTGGTTTAATTCCATTGTTGGTGTTCAGAATGCTTTTTGATTGTAAGTAAACTATAAACCCCAGCAACTACAACTCCCAAATGACAAAATCAATGTTTTTTGAAGTGATGGTCACTCCTTGGGTTAGTAGGTGTCTTATGGCCAAATTTGGGGTCAATTCGTCCAGCGGTTTTTATGTTACTCCCACAAACAAACATTACATTTTTATTTATATAGACTAGCCGTCCCCTGCCACGCGTTGCTGTGGCCCAGTCTGGTAATCTAGAAAACAAAGTAACAAGAAAGTGTTGCTTTCTAATATATGTAATTTCTCTATGCTTGTGGATAAACCGTTCATGGGGGTCATAATGGTCGTTGATTGTAGGTGAACTGTAAATCCCAGTAACTACAAATCCCAAATGTCAAGGTCTATTTCTCTCAAACTCCATCTGTGTTCATATTTGGGCATATGGAATATTTGTGCCAAGTTTGGTCCAGATCCATCATTGTTTGAGTCCACAGTGCTTTCTGGATGCAGGTGAACTACAACTCCCAAACTCAAGGTCAATGCCCACCAAACCCTTCCAGTATTTTCTGTTGGTCATGGGAGTTCTGTGTGCCAAGTTTGGTTCAATTCCATTGTTGGTGGGGTTCAGAATGCTCTTTGATTGTAGGTGAACTATAAATCCCAACAACTACAACTCCCAAATGACAAAATCAATTTTTTTGAGTGAAGGACATACATTGGGTTGTTAGGTGTCTTGTGTCAAATTTGGTGTCAATTCGTCCAGTGGTTTTTGAGTTCTGTTAATCCCAGTCATGTCTGACTCTGCGGGTTGGTGCTCATCTCCATTTCTAAGCCGAAGAGCCAGCGTTGTATGTAGACACCTCCAAGGTCATGTGGCCAGCATGACTACATGGAGCGCTGTTACCTTCTCGCCGGAGCGGTACCTATTGATCTACTCACATTTGCATGTTTTCGAACTGCTAGGTTGGCAGAAGCTAGGGCTGACAGCGGAAGCTCACGCCGCTCCCCGGAATCGAACCTGCAACCTTTCGATCAACAAGCTCAGCAGCTCAGTGCTTTAACCCACTGCGCCACTGGGGGCTCCCAGTGGTTTTAGAGTTATGTTAATCCCACAAACGAACTATAAATCCCAGCAAGTACAACTTCCAAATCACAAAGTCACATTGTTTTAAGTGAAAGACATACATTGGGTTGTTAGGTATATGCTGTCCAAATTTGGTGTCAATTCGTCAAGTGGTTTTAGAGTTATGTTAATCCCATAAACAAACATTACATTTTTATTTATATAGAGAGTAGAAGAAGATAGATGGCCACTCGTTGGCCTGAGAGGTGTCTTGTGTCCAAACGTTGTGTCATTTTGTCCAGTGGTTTTTGAGTTATGTTAATTTCACAAACATTACATCTTTAGTTATATAGATGTGTGTGTCTGGAGTTACACTTTTAAGTATCCCTGTTCCGAGTTGCATACAAATTCAACTCCAGAAGCAATCTTGTTCGTAGCTTGGGGGACTGCCTGCATTGGATACATAAATATTGGGCTGGCTTCCAGCTCGGTGACAAAGACGACTGGTAGAGGGAGGGGAAAAAAGCCCTTTCAAAGTTTTCCATCCGACTTTTGTGTGTGTGTTGTCCCTACGCGTTTAAAAGGGGGACGCGGTTGCTGGGATCTCCCCCTGCGGGTGGCGCCGGGCTTAAAGTGGGAAGAGCCTCCAAAAGGGAGATCTAAAGCAGGAAAGGTGAAATACGGAATGCAAAGGAGGCGCGAGGACGGCTAATGATGATGGGCAAAGCGAGCGAGCCAGCGCGAGAGGCTAGGGAAGGAAGGAAAAAAAAAAAGAAGAGGAGGAGGCGGAGGAAGTAAGTGGGCAGCGCATCGGACGCCGGCGCCGAAAGTCCGGTCCGGGTTTTGCCTGCAGCTCAGGCAGGAGAAGCAGCAGCAGCAGTGAGAGCGAGAGAGAGCGGCGTCGGCGGCGGCCTTTTGCAATGCGGTCCGCCTGTCTCGGTCCCTGCCGGGCGAGGATGTAGATAGAGGTGGGTTGGCCGAGAAGAAGGAGACAGAGAGAGAGAGAGAGAGAAAGGCGGGAGGAAAGGCCAAGAGAGAGAGGCAGAGCGAGAGAAGAAGCGGAGGCAACTTGTCCCTTGGCGTCGGCTGCCCCCGGGAGCCCTTTGGGGCAGGTGCTGGCGGGAGTAGCAGCAACTAGCAAGCAGCAGCAATAGCCTCTCCTCTTCTTCTCCTCCTCCTCCTCCATTACGCTCCGGATTTGGATCTTTAATCCGGCGGGCGACGGCGCGCGCGCAACACGCAGGAGAGGCGAGGCACGCGGACTGCCCGGAGCGGCGGCGGCGGCGGCGGCAGCGGCTGCAAGATCGCCTTCCTTCCTTCCTCTTTTCCTTGCTCCGGATCGGTAAGTGCAAACACTGGAAAGGGTACGAGGTGGAGGAGGAGGAAAAGGAAAGTCTGGAGGGAAAAAAAAGTTTGCATTGGAGGAGGGGAAGGGGCGAACGAGGGGCTTTTGCAGCAGCAGGTCCCTCTCCGCCTCTTGGCTTCGCCTTGGCTCGCGCTCGCCTTCCGGGGAGGTCTGGCTGTGGCGACGGTCTCAGCTCAGTGGCTCCAGACAAAAAGCGAGCCGCGTGCAGCAACCAGAGGGTCTCCCCAAGAGGAAGAAGGGCTCGTGATACACAGCGCCCTTTCCATTTCCAGTCCTCTTGGGGAGACAGGGAGGAAGAAGGGCTTGATCTGATACACCCTTGTATTTCGACTCCTCTCTGCGCCTCTTTCCCTCAAACCCTCCGGAGCTGGGTTGCTTCGAGTCTTCGAGCCGCTGCATGGCTATGTTCCAGTAGCATTCTCTCCTGAAGCGCCTCCGCTACGCCTCGCTCAGTTGCCTCGATGGGTCTGTTTTGTTTCTAAGGGGTTTGGACAAAGTTTTCTTTGGAACGAAAGAAAACAGCGTTGCGGTGAGTTTTCCGGACTGTCTGGTCGTGCTCCAGAAGCATTTTCTCCTGACGCTTCGCCTGCATCCTCAGAGAGTGGGAGGTCTGTTGAAAACTAGGAAAATTGGGTTTATATATCTGTGCCATGTCCAGGGTGGGAGAAAGAACTGTTGTCTGGGTTGTTGTAAGTTTTTCGGGCTGTCTGGCTATGTTCCAGAAGCATTCTCTCCTGACGTTTCGCCTGCATCTATGGCCAGCATCCTCAGAGGTTGGAGGTCTGTTGGAAACTAGGAAAATTGGGGTTTATATATCTGTGAATGTCCAGGGGGGGGAAGAACTCTTGTCTGGGTTGTTGTAGGTTTTTTGGGCTGTATGGCCATGTTCTAGAAGCATTCTCTCCTGACGTTTCGCCTGCACCTATGTCAGGCATCCTCAGAGGTTTGGAGCTATGTTGAAACTGCCACGCCCTCCGACCCCACAACCTCTTGAGCATGTCTGTCATAGATGGAGGCGAAATGTCAGGAGAGAATGCTTCTAGAACAGGGCCATACAGCCCAAACAACCAAGATGGGGGTTCTCTTGTACAGGTATGTAAACTCTGTTTTCCTAGTTTCAAACAGACCTCACAACCTCTGAGGATGCTTGCCATAGATGGAGGCGAAACGTCAGGAGAGAATGCTTCTAGAACATCGCCATACAACCTGAATAACCAAGGTGGGAGTAATCTTTCTCCCACCTTGGACATTGCATAGATATTTAAACTCTAGTTTCTAAGAGGAAAATAGTTTATGGATGCCTGCCATAGATGGAGGCGAAACGTCAGGAGAGAATGCTTCTGGAGCATGGCCAGACAGTGTGGAAAACTCACATCAACCCAGTTTCTTTGGAATCTTGTGTCTAGTTCCCCAATATCCCCCTCCCACTTTTTTCTTTCCCCCCAGCGCGTAGGATTCCTGTATTGCCTTCCTTTCATCCTTCCCCCCCCCCTCCCTGTCCACTGCATTGGCGACTCGGCGCCCCCTTCCGTCCCTTTCCTCTCCCCCCCCCTTCCCGAATCCGGGCCGCCTAATCGCGCCTCGTTTCCCAGGTTACAGCCGCGGTGTCTGCAGCCAGCCATCCGGGCGTTGGAGGGAGAGAGAGAGAGGGAGGGAGGGAGAGGAGAAAGGGAGGGGGGGGGAGGCTGCTGCTGGCTCCGGCTGACCCTCCGCGCTGCTCTCGGGGAGCCGGAGGCGGCGGCATTGGCGGCATTGGCGGATTAGAGCGGCGCCCGGCCCGCCCGCGCGGAGGAGCCACTCGCTGCAGGGGACGCCAGCTGCCTCCCCGCCTCCTCCTCCTCCTCCTCGCTGTGTTTTTGTTTTTGGGAGGACGGAAGGAAGGAAGGAAGGAAGGAAAGCGGGAGGGAGGGAAAGAGGGAGGCCGCCTGGCGCTGCTGTCTCCTGCGGCGCCCTCGGGGTCGAAATGGGGAGGGGGGAAATGCCTCCCCTGGGTGACCTTAGCCACAAATATGCATCGAAAGAGAAGCCGGTGACATCTTCAACACCCCCATCCCCAGCGCCTCTCCTTTCTCCTTTTTTCGCCTTCTAAGTAGCGCCAGACTCCTTCAGAAAAGGAGGAGACCAAAGGGAGAAAAAAAAATACAAAACTTCTCATCCTGAACACAGACTTTTTCAGGCTTCTTTTATGCAGCGTGTTTCTGTTGTGTTTTGGGTCCAGCTATCCTGCCAGGCTTGTGGGGGCAACAGCACTCCCCCACTGGAACCCCCTGGTGGTGGAACTGGAAGGACTGATGACAGAGATCAGGTTAAGCTCCCTCTGTCAGCTCCAGCTCCTCATGTGGGGACATGGGAGAAACATCCCACGAGGATGGTAAAACATCAAAACAACTGGGGGTCCTCAGGGCAACGTCCTTGCAGACAGCCAATTCTCTCACACCAGAAGCACTCCTAACATGGGAAAAAAGCTAACCACCCAGCCATGTGGGGGCAACAGCACTTCTCCACTGGAACCCCCTGGTGGTGGAACTGGCAGGACTGATGACAGAGATCAGGTTGAGCTCCCTCTGTTAGCTCCAGCTTCCTATGTAATAATAAACTTTATACCCCGCCATAATCTACCCAATGTACAAAAAACAAAACTTATGTAGGGACATGAGAAAAGCCTCCCACAAGGATGGAACTGGCAGGACTGATGACAGAGATTGGGTTGAGCTCCCTCTGTTAGCTCCAGTTCCCTATGTGGGGACATGAGAAAAGTCTTCCTCAAGGATGGTAAAACATCAAAACAACCGGGTGTCCCCAGGGCAACGTCCTTGCAGACAGCCAATTCTCTCATACCAGAAGTGCTCCTAACATGGGAAAAAAAGCTAACAAGCCAGCCATGTGGGGGCAACAGCACTCCCCCACTGGAACCCCCTGGTGGTAGAACTGGCAGAACTGGTGACATATCGGGCTGAGCTCCCTCTGTCAGCTCCATCTGGGACGTGAGAGAAGCCTTCCACAAGGATGGTAAAACATCAAAACAACTGGGCATCCCCAGGGCAAAGTCCTTGCAGACAGCCAATTCTCTCACACCAGAAGCGCCCCTGACTTGGGAAAAAAGCTATCCAGCCAGCTGTGTGGGGCCGCCACAGCACTCCCCCTGTGGAGTCCACCGTGGTGCAATGTGCTGGCAGGACTGATGACCCAAGAGCGGGTTGAGCTCCCTCTGTCAGCTTCAGCTCCCCATACAGGGACATGAGAGAAGCCTCCCACAAGGATGGTAAAACATCAAAACAATCAGGCGTCCCCAGGGCAACGTCCTTCCATGTCACACCAGAAGCGCTCCTGACATGGAAAAAAAGCTATCCAGTCAGCCATGTGGGGGCAACAGCACTCCTCCCTCCTTAACTTTGGCATTCAGGCCTGATGGGGCTTGTCCGGTGGCTTTCCTCAATGTCTGCAGAGGAGTCTTTGGGGCGAAGGGAGGAGGGGGAGGAAGGCTTTGAGTCCCAATCTCCTTCCTTGCTTCCTCCCTCCTCCCCCTCCTTCTGCCTTTCCACCATCAAAGGAGAAAACCAAAGGTACTGCCCTTCCCCTGTGTCAATCAAGGGCCACATTAGCCTCATGGTTGCCTTCAAAGGGCCAGTTGAATCCAGGGATGGAAAATTCATGGATACAGAAGGCCAGCTGAGTTTCCTGGGGAGACAGGGCAGCCAATAAATAAAGCATTTTATATATACACACACACACACACACTCTAGCGGTCCCCTGCCATGAGTTGCTCTGGCCCAGTCTGGTAATCTGGAAAAACAAGTAATGAGAAAGTGATGGTGTCTCATATATGTTACTTCTTTATGCTTGTGGGTAAACAATATTTCTTGTTGTTTCTTTGTCACTGTTGATTTAGAGATTGTCTGGTTTGCTTACTCTGGAACATGCAACATATAATTGTCCTTCTTTAGGGGTCCCTTTCAAATCTATGATACTTTATCTGTCATAGACATATATATGTGAGTGAATCATATATAACTATATTTATGGTTGGATGTTGACCAAAAGGCATGAGTTTCCGCTGTTAGCCCCAGCTTCTGCCAACCTAGCAGTTCGAAAACATGCAAATGTGAGTAGATTAATAGGCACCACTCCAGCAGGAAGGTAACGGCACTCCATGCAGTCATGCCGGCCACATGACCTTGGAGATGTCTACGGACAATGCTAGCTCTTCGGCTAAGAAATGGAGATGAGCACCACCACCCAGAGTCAGACACGACTGGACTTCATGTCAGGGGAAAACCTTTACCTTTACCTATGGTTGGATTTATATATACAATATATGTATATACAAATGTGTGTGTGTGTATTTAAAGTGCTGAACTGTTGAACTTGCTGACCGAAAGTTCAGCGGTTCCTTTCCAGGGAGAGGGGTGAACTTCCATTGTTAGGCCCAGTTTCTGCCAACCTAGCAGTTCGAAAACTTGCAAATGTGAGTAGATCAATAGGTACGACTTCTACAGGAAGGTAATGGCACTCCATGCAGTCATGCTGACCACATTACCTTGGAGGCTTCTACAGACAATGCCGACTCTTCCGCTTAGAAATAGAGATGGGCACCCCCCCCCCCCTGCCCAGAGTTGGGCACAACTAGATTTAATGTTAAGAGAATACTTATACCTTAACATTTTTTCAACATATTGATCGGTGCTCTTTAGTTTCCTCCAAATTCAGCTCCCCAAATGTTATTGAATGAAAACTCCCATTGCTTTTTATTATCATCCGCCATATAAACTGGGGATGTTTGGAATGGCAACCCAACAGCACTTGTGGCTCTGGAGTTGGGAAAAAGGAAGGTAAAGGGCATTTTGAAGTCAGGCATCATCTCCACAAGCCTTGTATCTCAATTCAAACCCCACTCTCCTGACTAAACAGACCAAAGTGCAACCTAGATGTTACTGTATCCCAACTCCCATCAACTCTAATCATGACGTCTAATGATG